ACGCCATCAGAGCATCAGTCCACACTTCACGAAATAGATCAAAAATATGCTAAGCCAAGAGAAAAGATGGCCGGCTGCAATTCTAGCCGCATTTTTATTTTGGTGGAACTTGAGCCATGAACGTGTGTGTTTATGGGATACTCTTATGGCAGTGAATAGGTATGCAGCAGTAAGAATTCGTCTACATTCGTATCGCCTTTAGTGACTTTAATGCAAAATTAAACGCATGTTTTTCCTTTACATAGTTCACTGGTAGTTCCTGAATATACTTTGTCATATCAAGAACACTTACATGTCTTGAGAGGAAGTATAATCCTCACTCAAAGGTGCTCTATCCATTTTCGCTGAGAATTGGCACCGAAATGTTCATTAATTCTTTAATGATAACTACTACTCACAGCGAGAATAAGCAATATAGTTCATTGAAATGACAAGTGTATATTTGCCTCATCTTGAAAGTCGCATCTGCCCTGTGCTTTACTGACCTCGTGTCTGTGTTTCCAAGTGGTAACCTATTGTCAGGATGCGTTTAGAATCTCATTGGGAGTGCTTAGATCTAAAATGTAGTCCATTCAGGGTGGGAAACCTTGTATTAATCTTATAAATATTACTCCTATAAATAAGTGACTAATTTGACTAAATTAAGTGATTAAAGTATTAAGTCACCAAACTGCCTTTTCATTAGTTCGGCCAACTGTTTTCCTTGAAATAAAATGAGCTACTGTTTTAATTATGAAATACGCATTTTAGTCGCATACACATTATCGTGGATGAGATTACGTCCTACAGCAGTGGTTCTCAAACTTTTCCTAGTCGCGGCGGCCTTTTTCAATTAAACTTTTTCCATGGTGCCCTACCCTAAATAGGACTATTCGTAAGTAAGCGATAAAAATAACTAAAACTCGTGTATCTTCATTATTTTTTTTACTTTATTAACACTAAATTAATATTCAATAATTAATGTGATGCATGAGCCTGCAAATCACTGCACATTTTCTCAAATGGAAGCTTTTACAATATTTCGCGGCACACAGTTTTGGGATCACTGTCCTACAGCATTCAATGCATATCCCTCTTCTGAGAGAATGCTGGGTTCGGTTTTTCTTCCACATCCATTTGAGTGTACACGAGGATGGCTGAGTTTTAAAGACGCATCGTTAAGCGAAGACCAACATTTACATCAGCCTTGAGTCGCTGTTGATTCGGTCGACACTCAAACAAATTCCAAACAAAAAGAAACTCTTATTTTCGGCTCGAGTAATCCCCATTTTGTCCACTCACTCTAGTTGCTACGGTTACCTCCCATATTTATTTTAATAATCCTCTAATGTTTGCAGAATCTGTAGCTCTGATTGAGTCTGAAAAAATCAAATTGTCTACTGAATAGCTTCAACTTCTTTTGTTCTTCAACACCGCCTATTCCTCTTCTACGCAATCAGCCCGTCTGCCTGCTGGAGAGTCAACGATGTCTCAACATCAACATATTCTTGCGGCAGTTCAAGATGTTGGAGACCAGCGTGATCGACCTCCTGCGGACCGGGAGCAGTCGGGTTATCGGTCCTGAGCGCCTCCGAGGTCTGCTAAAGTTGCTGCCCAACGAGCACGAGCTTCAAGTGCTCAAGGGCTATTCCGGCAGCAGAATAGGACTCGATCCTGCAGAGCAGTTCTTCATTGACTTGGTGCGAATTCCTGAGTAAGTGTAGCCACTGTACCCCTCCAGTCGCATGCATAGACGGCCTTATTGTTGGTCTTCTCGGCTTGATAAGACCCAATCCCGCGAACATGAATGCCTTTTTGAGACGGAAAAAGTAGCAGTCAAACGCCGTTTTGTGGCTTGCATGTGCCGTTGAAAAGGACGAGAGTGAAAGACTCACAATTTCGTCTCACCAGAGACCAGAGGAGATGGAACCTATCAGTTGTTAGATTTCTGGATACGAAGAGAAAGTTGGTTTCGATGAATCTCCTGAGATAACATTGCTAGGGGGACCTTCATTTCGAATAAAAGTGTACGAAGAAGAGATTCGTTCGTCGATCTCACCACATGAGGACGGATAAAACACACAAATATACATACTCATACAATCGAGAAAAATTAACAGAACCAATATGAAAGAAAATTGACCAAATCACTCTGTATCAATCTATCTAGGTTTTTAATTTTCATTTTTTCGGCTCGATTGAGTCTATATAAGTAGTAAGTTAGAGCCGGATAATATTCTTGGTTTAGTGTTAACGTGAGACTTTTACAAGAATGACACCCAGCTCTGACGATGTCCATCATTTGATGGATGAAAGCTCAGCACGTTTTCACCCGAAACGAGGGAGGAAGTGTCGTGTATTTCGTCAACATGG